GCTGGAGTGATTTAGTCTCAGATAAAGTCTCTGCGAGACGTTTGACATTTCGCTCTCAGCACAAACTCCTCTGACATTCGGGGGACGAGGGCCGATACTCAGCGTTAACCTCATCTTCGTCAGTGTCACAGATAAGAAAACCGTCGACAGGATGATTGAAAATCAGTTTTAAACTTAAACCCCAATACGCAGATGAAGATTTTATTTCCATTAAATTCAATCTGCATGTCTGTTTGATGCGTGTTATTGTGTGTGTGAAGTTTTAGCAGGTTCCTCAGTGAATCACAATGGTCAGTGTGTGAGAGAATCAAACACCCCGAGGGTCTGGAGCCATTATAGACGACACGGCTGCTTTGACTGGCTGCATTCAGCTGCCAAAAAAGGGAAATTGAGTTGTCGCCGCGAGCGCACAGGTAGCAATCTCACTCTCTGGTGCCACGTCCCTATTGAACGGCTGGACACACACACACACACCAGCATTGTCCAGCACCTCATTTCCAGCCCAACATCACTCCCATCCTCCAGCAGGATTCAATAAACGGAGAATTCAGACACAAAATGAGAGTCGAAGCACAATGGCTGCATTCACACGACAATAAACTACAAATTCAGACCAGCTAAAATCCAGTAACAAAGAAACTAATATGCCAAATTTTGTGATTAGTCACAGCATCAGCTTCACATATTCAAACACTTGCTCTCGAAAATTTCAGGTTGTCTTTTGATTATAATGCTGTATCTTTTTTATATGCAAAACTGTACGAAAATAACGATTTACAAACTGGACTGACAACTCTGTTAATAAATAAATAAATGAAAAACTATGTTAAATACATATTATATTTCATCACATCCTTACTATTTCATGTGTTTTTAGTTGTTTTAATACTACAATTGATTGCTTCTGTTGTCCTCATTTGTAAGTCGCTTTGGATAAAAGCGTCTGATAAATGACTAAATAAATAAAATAAATAAATATATACTGTGTGTATATACTTCAATGG